TGTCTGGGAGGGTGCGGGGAGGGTGCTGGGAGGATGCTGGGAGGGTGCTGGAGGGTGCTGGGAGGGTGCTAGAAGGGTACTGGGAGGGTGCTGGGAGGGCTGTGCAGGGCTGTCTTTCTTCCTAACGCGATTTCCTGTTGAAACCCAAGTGCCAGGAGGGCCCTGAGGACAAAGCCGCTGGGAGGAAGGAGAGACATGTTACCTTCAGGTGCTGGTGCTGCAGCTTCTCCTCCTCTATCTTCAGGCGCTTCTCGGAGATTTCCTCCTGTATTCTCCTTTTATCCTGAAATACACAAGTCCCGGCGTCACCTTTCCCATTTTACATCGGTTTCCTTAACAGCGCGTCCCAGGGTTGGTGCCGGGGTGGAGAGGGTGGCCAGCGACGGGCGCCTGGCACGGGTACGAGGCTGCTTTGCAAACTCCTGCTGCACAGCAAGGAGAGCAGAGGGGCCGTTCAGGGCACTGTGGCTGGAGGGTGACACAGCGCTTTTTCAAAGAGAACCAAGGCGCTTCCCTGCCTCCCCTGCCCCTCTCCTCGCTCTGTCTTCCCCAGGAGCCCAGCGAGGTCGAGCTGTGGAGGACAGGTTGGCGGTTAGAGAGCAGGCATGTGGGGACCCGGGGTACAGCCTGGGGCGTCTGGCCCCTGGGATTGTGGTGGCCATGAGGGGGCTGGGCGGGTGCCCGAGGCCCCAGGGGACCTCTCTGTGATGTGTGGGGTTGTCTGGCCACTGGGCTGTGTGCCTGAAACTAATGCAGAACGGTGCTGGGTGTGAGCTGTGATGGAAACATTTCACAAAAGTAGATGATCAGGAAAGACAACGAAAGATTGAGCTACGGAGAGGTGCGGTGGGAAAGCCAGTTGAGGGAGGATGCTCTGAAGGAGGCCGGGGGAACCCTGTAGGAGGGGGACTCGTCCTGCGTGAGGGTTTGGAAAAGGGCGGTGCGTGTGGGAAAGCAGACCAGACTCGGGAGCTGCCCCGGGCACCGCTCCCTCCTTGTGTAACTTGCTGTGGGAAGACGGAGAGAAAACGGGTGAGGCACTGCTTGTCAACACTGAGGTTAAAACAACCTCCTGGAGCGAGACTGTACCTTTCACCAACTTCAAACTGCAGAACCTCACAAACCCCAGAGCACACGGCTGGTCCTGCACGCGGCCTGCACCGTTGAGAAAAAGATAGCACATGTACTCCCTCGCCTGGGCTCCGTTTCCGCTCTGCCATTTGCCAGCTCCGTGTCCCCGGACAAAGTGCTTAAGTTCTCGGTGCCTCGATGGCCTCAGCTCTACCATACGGGTAATTACACCACCTGCCTCACGAGGCATTGGCATGAAATGAGCGGGTATGTGCTAGAGTTCCTAGAACAGTGCTTGGCACAGGGTCTCCTGGGAACCTCCGTGGGATAAAACTTGCTAAAGAAACCTATTAACCACACAGAACGCCGGGCACTCATTCGGATCACGCGTGCAGCGGTCGGAGGTGTTTGAGATTTTACAAGCGGTGCCAAAAGGCCGTTTCCTTCTGGTCACCATTGTCATTTTTTACCGGAGGTGACAATGTGGTCCATCTGACTTATAAGAGATGGTTTCAAATCTGCTTCCAGAAAAATGGAGGCTCCCACAGAACAGCAGTGTGTTGCCAGTGGAGACATCGGAGGGATGGGAAGCCGGCTCAGCTCGGAAGGCGGTTAGAACGAAGAGATCCAAACACGCTGGCAGGGCGGCCTCCCCCGGCGGCCGCTTTGAAGATAAGAACTCGCTTTGATGTGGAAGCTCAGGTACATTTGTTGAAGGAAAACAACGCTGCGCTCCAGCCTGATGTCACTGTTCGTGCCTGCCTGGAAGGGGACGATGACCTCACCAGGCATCTTCCGGAAGCAGCTCTTTTGGAAAAGCAATCGCCAGGCAACCAGCCGGGCCACTGCTTTCCCTTGGATAAGATCTGGCCATTGGGAAGAAAAACTCCCCAAACGCATGAGTCAGGTCGCCACCCTCTCTGGAGGCTGGTATTGAGCAAATACTATCATGTTTTAACTTCCTGCGCCAGGCGCTGTGGTACGTCGCTATGGGCACCGTTTCACTCGATAGTTATAACAACACGATGTGTTGTGATATTTCCCTTAATAGTCATAGTTACAGGAGGCATCGCAGGAGGAGAAGCGGGTGTGGGAGCCCCTGGCCCATCCACGCTCTCGCAACCCGTCAGTGGCAGAACCGGGATTCCCTGCCCCCCCCACCCGCCCCCAAATAGAAGTTTTATTCTAAGTGAGGAGTTTGGGCTTGGCTGGTATTGGTGTCTCCTTTAGAAATGAAGTATACGTGGTGGTAACTGCACCAACACACAAGGTTCCATTTAATAAATTAAACCATAATGACTGTTTTTACCGGTTTACACTGGATTTTTATTGATTAAATTTTCCCCACAAGAACAAAAGCCCCCAAATTCTTTTTTTCTAAATATATTTTTATTAATTTCAGAGAGGAAGGGAGAGGGAGAAAGAGATAGAAATATCAACGATGAGAGAGAATCATTGATCGGCTGCCTCCTGCACACCTCCTACTGGGGATCGAGCCCACAACCCAGGCATGTGCCCTTGACCAGAATCGAACCCGAGACCCTTCAGTCCACAGGCTGACGTTCTATCCACTGAGCCAAACCGGCTAGGGCTTTAATTCTTATTTTTTGAAGGCAAGGTAACAATGAAACCAAAACCCACCCCAAATTGGGACCCTCCTCCCAAAGTAAACACTAGGCCAATATCTTTCAAGAACATTTAGGAAAGCGAAAGCTAAATAAGCTATTAGAGACAGAATCCAGAGCGCATCAGAAGAACTATGTACTTTGTCCACGTGTAGGATTTTTTCAGCATCGCAAGGAGGGTCAGTCTTAGGAACGACACACTATGATTAAAACATGTCATCCCCTCAGCACATCTAAGCAGGACACTCCTGTTTCCATTTCCACAGAGTCCTAAAAGACACTGGACAAAATTCACCATTTAAAACATTTTAATGAGACATTAAAATTTTAAGGAGAATTCCCTAACTTGATAAACTAGATTAATCTCAGCATGCCCAGTGTGGAAAGGGATCCGAATCTTAAATATTAAATTGAGTTAGGTTCCAGCAGGAACCAGTAAAGTTACACGGAAAAAGAGAAAGGAAATTAGAGAAACAATTAGTGGGGCCCCATGTTAATGTATGGAAGTCAATTCCTCTGACGCATACAAATCACAATGAGAAGATACCAGGGAAGAAAGCGCTCTACTTGTTCTGGAAACTAGAAAAACTGAAACACCTGGGAGTGAACTTCACGTAAAATGTCAATGAGAACTTGTAAAACATTCCTAAGGGACACAATAAACTTGAATTAATAAAACCGGTGCCACCTTACGATTAGGAAGACATCACGAAGGCATGGTGACTGCCAATTCCCCGCAAGTTGTTATTCTCCAAGAACTGTTTGTTCTCCATCAATTTCACGTGGTCCCCACCCACGCGCCGATGGTTGTGCCGTGGGAGGCCGTCCTGTGGTAGGATGTTGAGCGGCATCAATGACCTCCACCCATTGGCTGCCAGGAGTGCCCCCGGGAAGTGATAACGGAACACATCTCCAGCCCTTCTTCAACGTCCTGGCTGAGCACCACGGAGAGGCACTAATCTCCAGCACCCACCAACTAGTGAGATCTGCTGCGTGGTGGAGCGTGAGGAGAGACGGACGTCTCCAATGGCCACGAAAACGGGTTTTACCGGGTCAACATGTTGACCTACTGGTGAAAGCACACGGTGGCTGACTCCCTGATGCCTCTAGCTTTCCAGCAGGAGGCAGGTGTGTCAGAGGGCATCGGCCTCAAGCCGGAACGACACCTACTGGGTCACAGTGCAGATAGGACGTGGGGAATTCTGCAGACATTGGGGGAAAATACGGGATAAGGACTCCAACCCCAATGGCGCTAGACCATGTAGTCTGATGCCATCACCACCGTAAGAGACAGGTTAGGGAGCTACCAAGAGTCGTTCTGTTAGGAAAAATTCTTCAGAAAAAAATGATACCACAGGATACCTGGGGGTCATCCCTTAACTAAGGAATTGGCAAAAACAAAAACAAAACATCAGCGAGTGGAGACTGTTACGAATCCCGTTCCCGAGTACCACCAGCTGGCCACAGCCTGCTTCCCAAAGCCACGGCCTATCTCTGACCTCAGGACCTCTGGTCCCCTCACGAAGGCTTCTTCAGCGTCCGTACCATCCAGCTGTCTGCCTCTCAGGCCTGGGGGGGATCTGTTGCCCACTCGTGGGTGTGATTGATTTGGGACTTTCCCTTTCTGGCCATCTTCCCTCCCGGCATTGGGGCCGGCCCAACAGTTGCCTTCTGAGGGGGAAGTGCTCAAGAAGGGATTGAGTCCCACCCCTCGCACCAGCCTCTGCACCTGAGCACTGTCACCAGCTCCGGGCCTGTGGGTGCTTTGCTTTTGAACTTGGATGTTTCCAACGATGATGTTAGACATGCCTCACTCTCCCCCACCCTCACCAGTGGAAACGAATGAAGAGACACGGCCTTGGTGAGCACAGTGGCCTTCAGAGAGGACAGATGTGCCCGTGAATGGAGGCAGACGGGAAATTATGTGCGTCCCCGTTAAATCCACGCTGTTGGTGCTAACACATGACATCCCCAGTGGCTCTCGCCTCTTCCTCAAGCGCAGAATTGCAACAAGTGACATCAGCAACCGCTCCAGGAGACACACGCACCCCTATCCCACTGAAAGGAGACCCCTAGCTTTCCCTAGAAGAGCTCGCGAGTGTATGTGTCCGTTTCTACAACATGGAAGAACGCGCCCTTCGGCCAAGTTTCTACACTTTCCCGAACCTGGAGGAAATGGTGGTATTTCCTCCCATTGAGTGTCGAGTGCAGACGTGAAGGCCTCCTAGGCCCCGTTCAAGTTTCTACACTTTCCCGAACCTGGAGGAAACGGTGGTATTTCCTCCCATTGAATGTCGAGTGCAGGCGTGAAGTCCTCCTAGGCCCCGTGCCCAGCGCCCAGCGCCCAGCGC